ACAAAACAAGGAAAAACAACAATTAGTACACTGGTGCTTTGCATTTTTGCTCCTCCCAGTAAAGAAAAGAGGGAAGCAGAAGTGTTTGTTAGTTTCACTCAGCTCTCTTGCACTGTGCTACTGTACAATACAGGTAACCATTGCAAAGATCAGTGATGAGTCAATACAATCCAACTCAATTCAAACTGTAAGTTAGAATCAGCAGTGATGGGCTGATCTCAAGTTGTCTGTCATCTTTAATGACATGTGAATTAAATGCAGTATCTGCTGAAGCCCTAGAGCAGCGGTTTTCAACCTGTGGGTTGCAACCCCATTTGGGGTCAAACGACCATTTCACGGGGGTCGCCAAACAATGCAGTCCACCATTTTTTTCCCCTTTTCCTTAGCTGTGCTACTCCCTTTTATTCTATTGGCTTTTGAAAGCCAATAGAATAGACTCTCTTGAATAGAGTCTAATTCTATTGGCTTTCAAAAGCCAATAGGAATTGTCCAGGCTGTCTCTGCCCTGCTGAGCCCGCCAAAAGTCCCATTCTGCAAACGGTGCTGCAAGTTGTCTGCAGCGAAGGCGAGCTGTCTGGAAGTTTCCACCCCTCCCTGCTGAGCAACTACTAAAAATGTAAGTAAAAGAGGGCCAGGGGTGGGAGGCCGGCAGGTGCAGGGAGGGTTGCTGGCGTGCGTGGGGCCCGGCAGGTGCCTTACCTCCCTTGGGCTGGGCCAGCTGGTGGCCCAGCCGTTGGTCACCCTGAGCTGTCGCTGCCCCTTGCCAGCTACACCTCGGCCGGCGCAGGGGGCGGCACCATGCATGCGCGGCGTTCCTGGGCAGGGAAAGTCCTCGACTTACGACCGGTTGAGTAGTCCTCGACTTATGACCGGCTGAGTAGTCCTCGACTTACGACCAGTTGGGGGTCGCGGCATTGAAAAGGTTGAGAACCACTGCCCTAGAGCCACAAGATGGGCTGAAGCAGGAGTTTGGCCCCAGAAGCAATGCAAAATGTTATTGTCCTTTTAGATATGACACAAATAACTCAGAAATAAATCAACTCAACAGCTGAAGACAGACAGCATAAGAATACAGATTTGGAGGTAATTCTAGGGCAGGACAAAGAAACAGTATTTGTACTAATTTTATTTAGTTTGTGTTTATAACTAAGTTGGGTAAATATGGAAGTGCCTTCCCCTACCAATTTAAAAACCTGTGTTGAGTGGAGTTGGGTAGGGTAGCATCTAATCCTCCTTCGCCCCAAGCAGAAAAATATCTCATAATGGAAAAAATCAATTACTTTTTTCTGCTTTTTAGTGTTGCTTATCTGTGGGTGCATTTGTATACTTTCTTGTATCCCACTTACATTTGAGGAGGCTGTATTGTCATAGTAGACCATCCATTTTGTGACTAGCCTATGACTGATGCAGGTAAAAGCTGGACCAAATATATCGGCATAAAAGTGGTGTTTTCAATGGTGAAATTGAAGAAAACCTATGTGAACATTTTAAAGTGCATGGATGTGGAATCTTTGACTTTTAGGACTCCAAATGGCCTGTTGCTGAATCATCACTTTCCATGTAGCTGCTGTGCTCTGGGTCTTGGATGGTAATTTTTGTTTTGGCTGCTGGGGAGACCAGAAACTTATCCAGCAACAGTTTTTTTTTTAAATTTGCTTATTCAGGAATATAAAGCTTGTGGAAAAACTTCCATGAGATTAATGTTACTATTGATAAGCCCCTAGCAAGGATGCACTGAGTACATATGGTAGGAAATGGTTAACTATGGGGGATTGCTATACAAATTGTGATTCCTCAGTGTGGGGATGCACTGCACATTGCATATTCTTCCCAAGCTGTGCCTTTTATTCCCAGCATTTTGGGCAAGGTTATGTACAGTACAAGGCTATATAGTCTATTCGTTTTTGGAGTTTTTCATATCCTGTTGCTTAGCAAATGCAGGAAGGGATATCTAGAAAAGCTAATATACAGTATATAACCATCTAAAGTGTGATGGTCTGAGTTTAGTTCCCAATAGAGGATTTGAAAAGTTCCAACAAGGACGAAATCAGTCATGTCTTGTCTCCTGATGTTGGTTCCCCTATTGTCCTACATAGAAGCTCAATGCACTGCTTATGACCTCACTTACTTTCAGGCTGATTTCTCCTTATCTTGAATTGTTCATGTGAGCATCCATTTTGTTTCTTGTTCTAAAACCTGTAAGCTCAAGGAAATGCCAGCACAACTGCCTCCCAGGCTGGAATACAAATGTCCCCAGTTGCCATCACTTCAGAGCCTCTGGTTATTTATATCTCTCTTTACATAATTCCAGAAATAGTGCAGAGTATTGATACTCCTGGAGAGGCCAGCACCCTGCCTCTCATTTGTGCTAGCTTTAATTGTTGTTATCAGCAAAGACTGGTATGTAGTAGGAGATAAGTGATGTGGTGCTGAGGGTTACTTCACTTGCAGCTGCCTCCCCCACTCTGGGGAAAAGATACAACAGATGACTCCAAATAACTTTGGTAACCAGAATTATGTGCATACTGGAGAGAGAGAGCAATTGAGAAGACAAGTATCTTTTGTATGAGACTGATTTTCTTAAGATTATGTACAAGTATTTACCTTCTCTGGGAGGTGGGGCTTTTCAGAGGTACATGCTTGAATGTGATAACACAGAATACATGTGTGATTTTCCCCCTTGTGAATCTTGTTTTGAAATTCTCAGCTGACTCAGCAAAAAGACCACGTATACATGCATTATAAAAATAACTTGGTAAATAACACAATACCAGAATAACAAAGGGGCCTTGGAGGTCTTCTATTCCAATTCCCTCCTCAAGTAGGAAACCTATACCATTTCAGACAAATAAATAAGTAAATAAATAATATAAAGTAAATAAGTATATAAGCAAACCATTTGCTAGGGGAAATACCAGTGCTATTCTCCTCTTCCCGATAGTTACTTTCCTGAAGCTATTGTCAATCTTTTAATGCAGAGACAGGCAACATTGTGCCAAAGACACATTGGACTAATTCCCATTAACCTCAACTAGTACAGCCAATGGCAAATGGAGTATCTTCCAAAAACATCCAGAGGGCACCAGAGTATCTTTTCTTATTTTAACCTGAAGTTCTTTCTTCTGCCAGTATCAGCTGATAAATCACAATCCATTTTCAATAAGTGTGTCAGTTTTCAGTCATACCCACCCACCTTTATCCTGCTTGTCATCTTTTTAAACATAGGCAAGAACTTTGCTGCAAATCTTTGTTCACTGAAACTGAACCCATAATTAGCCAGTGAGATCATTTTTGAGTTCAGGTCAGTGGCTAAAGCATGGCTTTGTGCATTAGATTCTGAGCATGGGACAGAAATGTCATAAACAAAATACTATGGACGCTCTATAAAAGGAACTGCAGGCTTCTACTGCAGGAGCACATTGTGCTCTTTTCACACCCTCCTCTTGGGCTTGACATGTTTCACTGCTTAAGAGCGGAGCGTAACTTGAAACTATATTAAAACAACTCTGTTTTTGGGAAGGACATTATTATTTTTCATAGGTTTAATACAACCCTTCCACTCTGGCTGGGTATAATGGAGTTACAGTCCAACACATCTAAAGGACACCTTGTCCTCTAGACATGATCTAGACCACTTGGCTTCTTGTTTAGGCAGTGCTTGATCAATGGTGAAAACTTGCACTTTTCACTTAATGAGAGGAACTATTATTTGTTGTGCTTTCCTCTTACAATGGTGTGTTTGTTCTGCTTCATTTGTTAGCATATGCTCAGGGCTGGAATGTTTTTTCAGCAGTCTGTCTTAAGAATGCTTCCTGAACAGAATTAATAAGTCTATTCCCCATCATTCTGTTTTAACTCTTATCTTCCATCACTCCTATGCTTTATTATGCTACCAATGTGAAGACAATAGCAACTTAACTAAAAAAAGTAAAGGTTTTAGAGATCTCATACAACTACAAAACTCCAAAGACAGAGTTTGAATCTTCTTAAAAGAGAAAAGTTACTCTGTTGCCACACTGCTCTCTAGTGGCAGATGGAACTTTCTGAAGAGCGGAGAAAAATAGTTGGTTACACGATGGGAGGCCATATACTGTAAGTTTTAAATAAATAAAAAATACATATTTGTTAAAAGAAAACTGCACTAAATTAGCTATTCTCTAGCCCTCAACAACAGACAAAATGCAAAATGTTTCACAATACTTCGTGTCTTTGGTTTTTCTAATGAAGGGCATTTCCCAAAAATAGGAAATTAGCCACTCGGCCACAAAGTGGAGGTATCTATTGCGTGAAACGTTTTGTATGTTATCATGTGCTGAGAAAAGATCGCCAGAGAATGGCTAATTTCGCGTAATTTTTTTTTAGACAATATTCAGTTTTGGAAGTACAGAAATTGATTTAGCTTCTATTGCTAAAATTGGCATACTATACAAACAAGGCTATTTAGTTTTCTGAACTTTGGTTGTGGAAATAACCAAGGCTTTTTTTCTCATAGAACGCCCAGAATGGAGTTCCAGCACCTTTTTTGGATGGAACCTTGTAGGGTAGGCAAGGCGGGTTGTATGACGTGTGTGAGTTCCAGCATTTTTTTTTTTTTTTTTTTTAGAAAAAAGCACTGGAAATAACATATAAAATCCAATGCAGAAGAAAACATGGCACCTGGAAACAGTGGAATGGTTTTGGTAGTTTGACTTTATTTCTTCAAGTTAATGAAAAAATAAAGTTTTCATGATCATTTAAAAGTTATCAATATTTTTCTATGTCAAAATAGATATATAAATGGAACTTGCCAGTTCTGCATCTAGTTACTAAAAAAAGGGTATCTCAAATAAATAAGGAAAATGAATTGTAGTTGAATAGGGAAACTATTTTTTTTCTTGCTTCATTGTCTTCCTGGTAGAGTGGCGCAACTGGTACAATCTAAATCACCTTAAATAAATCCAATTTTCATGCCTGTTAGCTATTCCCACCAGTATACAAATCAGTATACAAATCAGTAGTGCTTAGTAGTCATACTATCACTTTATTGTATTTATTACATTTTCAATAATATTTTAAGAATAATTTCCTGTACATATACTGTATATTTGAACTGTCCCTGCACACATACTTTGTCCATCATGCATTCAAATTCTGACCTATATTAAAGTCATTCTAAAGGAAACAAATGAGACATGTACCGTATTTCATGGATTTTTGGAATAAAGATTTTAAAATGGTAGGGAAAATCCTGTTAAAACATTTTTAAAAGCATTGCTTAATGAATGTATCAGGAAGTGAGCATTATGTAAGCATCTATGTGTTCATATTCTATTTGATATATACTGGACTTTTGGTCACATTTTTTCTAGGCCAACAAAGTCTTGCAAAAAGGTCCCAAGTCTATTGAGAAACAGCTAATATGTATATTAAACTGGTGCAGCTTTATGAAGAAGCAACAAGAAAAGACCTAGATCATGGATGGGCAATGTTTGAGGATCCTAGGGCCAAGCCATTCCTTGTAAGCTGCACTTGCAGAAAATAAAAACACACATGCTTAAATATACCTGTGCCCTCAAATACTTCCACATACTGGTCAACTGTAAAATCTTTTCTCTCAGCAAAAAGATGACACATCTTAATTCTGCTTGCATTGGCAATAAGAACTTGCAGGGATTTTAAGTGCAATATTCATTTGATTGGCTTGTTACTTGGGATGCGAAACAGCCCTTGTATAAATATTGCTCTGCACCCTGGCCCTGGACAGAAGTATTTAGCTAGATATGCATTCTTCTGTACCAAATAATTCTGGTTAAGCTGCTGTAGGATTATAGAATTAAATGTGATATATGCTAATCTCTGTAGAAGATCAGGCCATGTGTAAAGCAAATCAGATATGGCTCAAGGAGCGCATTTCACATTTACCAACTGGTGCCCTTCAGATGTGCTTGGGTATAGTTCTTGTTAGCCCTAGTCAGTATCACTAATGGTAATGGAATTCTTCTGAATATGTGAAATATAAATTAAGACATAGAAGAGTAGGGTGTACTATTGGATTTTTCTATCTTGAACTGGCCCCAAATCTAATGTATTACCTATAAAATATTAGGAAATATATATTGAGGGTCAATTCATTATTCCTTCGCACTTAAATCAAGCAAGTTTTTTTTTTTTTCACAAAAAGTAACAACTAAAAGAAAAACAACTCAGGTTTCTAACCAGGCAAATATAAAGCACCAAAAAGCAAATCCTCCAATGATAGGTATCCCTAGAAAGAAGCTTGAATTAACAATTTCTTATTTAGACTAATTTTTATAATAAACCCAATTTGACCTTTCAATTTTATTATGAGCTGTAACAATCCCAAAATAATTCACTTTTATAATTAAAAAAGTATAATATTCCTAAAAACACTTCTAAAGTGACTTTCTCTTCCCAAATACAATTCACCGGAAAGCCAAAGCTAAGTTGTTTTTACTAAGAAAATCCCAAGTGGAAAGTGAAATTCTGACCTCTACTGCTTGGCATTTTCCCCAGGTTGAACAGATTAACCAATTATGCAGTTATTTTATCTAAAACAATAAAATATCTACATCTTCCTGAAGCAAGAAACCCAAGTCTAGCTGGTCAAGAATCTCCTTTTAAGGTTCCAGTTTGCCCAGCATTACCTCCATGTGTTACTACTAAGGTAAGAAATAATCTGATGTAGGTGGGTAAAATGCTTGTCTTCCCCTAAAATAAATACTTTATTTATGCAAAGAGATATCTAAATGCACTGACTTGTCAGAAAGAAGTCTGTAGGGTAGAAATGAAGGAACACGAATTGCAAAGAAAAGTAAGCATGCAATAAATTAACAGAGACAGTGTACTGATCCTCACAGTTCACATCATAAAAGCAATGTAACCTATCTATCTACATAAGAATGTATCAAATCTCTATAACTTTCAATATCACCGAAGCTCCTCTGGCTCTATTTTATATGAGACTGCATACCAAAATGGAATGGAATAAAACTTCCTGTGTCAAGCTGGCCAAATAAGGTGTAGCAGAACAATAATTCTGATGCAACAGAATATTAAAGAGATTTGGTGGGAGAAATGAAAGGAGTCAAAATGGAAATGAAAGTATTACTTTCGTAGCCATTACTATTTTCAGCAAGAACTCAATTTTGAGAACTATAACAAGTTAATCTTTCATTTCTTCCTTTTTTCTGGGGGTAATAAAATATTGATCTGGAGGGAAATTATCATTTTTAATTAAAAAGATGTTAGTAGTGTATGTACCACAATATATACTTTAGCCTACTTTGCATGTGGTCTTGTTCTATTTTGGAGAAGAGAAATTCAGTGAATTAGACCTTTACATATCATGCTTTATGCATAAAAGCCTCTTACTCTAGGCATAGAACTTTCTGAAGATCAGGAACCAGGGAAAGATAAACTGTCCGTATTTCCAGAAATTTAGTTTTATTAAAGGCATAAAAATTCATCCTTTGATGGAGTACAAGATAAGGCTCCACAGGATTCATGATTAAGGAATAAAACAGTCCGAACTTACTCCACTGATCAAGTCTCAACTCTTTATTGAATGGTTTCTTGTTTACATTAATGCTACTCAGTCTAGGAAGAGAAGGAAAGAGAACCTGCTTGCTGTTATTTATGGGGTCATTATGGGGTCATTCATGAATGTAATTAGAACAATGCTGTGAGTTCTCCTTTCCTTGGGTCATTTTTAATACGTGAGCAATGCCAAATAAATAACTGTGATTACAGAATGGGCAGATGAGAATGAGAGTGTGACATGGTTTCACACATTATACTCGTAATGTGATTTATTTGAATTTTGGCGTAGTATATTATGTGAACCCAGTTTAAGGTCCACATTAATCTTTGTGAGCTGCAGTACATTTGGAAGTTTGAGAACAGTTTACAGGTGTTCTCACAAATTGCTGCAATGGTGAACACAGGCAGTCATTTAACAGAAGGCAAACTGGCAAGATTGTGTCCCATTACTATAAAACCTACATGGTGGTACTTTGCATCATTTTACTTCTCATTTTGTTTTTATTTTACAGAAAATAAAATCAGGGCATGTAACATAAGGTTGCTAAGCATACTGAACCCATAAATATTAATCATGATTTGTGGCTTAATAACACAAATGCAGCCAATTATTCAGTAAATCATAGTTACACAAAATCTGGCTAAGAATGACATAGGAACCTAGCCAGAGATTCAGATACCTTCATTTAGTGTACCTAAAAGGTAAACTAATCTATAACAGCACTAAGTTTCCCAGTGGAACAAACAAACTATCATTAAAACAGCTATGCTGTTTACAATTTGCTTCTTGCTGATTTTACCATAGAAACCAGGAATGTCAAAAGTTCCATGATAGCCCATGGTTAGCTGTTATACTAGAGATTTGAACAGGCCACAACTCCCTATACTCTCTTCTCCTTTCAGACAATTCCTGTACTTCACTCAGAGTGCTTTTTCAATGTTAAAAAATACCCTGTATTGTTATTATTATTACTGTGTGATTATATAAAGTGGACTTTAAACTTCTCAATACCAATACTCTCTCAAGACGGATTCTTCATTTTACTTTAAGGTAATGCAATCAATCTACCTTCTACACAAAGTAAAAAATTAATATATTGATGAAGAATATGAAGAAGAAAGTCATCAATAATAATTCTATGCTCCAAATGATCTCTGCATATGTGCAAGTAGGTTCAGGCTGCATAGATCCTAATACCTGAAGCCTTAATAGTCTGAAGAGTCAGCTGTGAAGTTCCAGGGGAAATTAGCAAAACTGTGGGTTTTTTTAAGTGTATCCTTTAAAAAAGATATGGAATTAAGTATAAAATTCACAAGGTTTTATCCACTGAAAATTGGCCTGCTGCTCATGGAAGCTCTTAAACAGGATCCCATTATTCTTAAATATATAGCTGATGAGCTGCAAGGGTATCCATGAAAGGTTGCACAAGGTAATCTGTTGAGAAGTAGAAGATCAGGCCAAAAGTGATGGAAATGGGAAGAGCAGGTAGTGCCTTCTTAAAGACTGCAAGCAATAGAAGAGTTAAGCACAGACCCTAAGAGAAAAAAAAGGAACATGATCAGCAGGAATATACCTAGCAGGAACATTTTTCATACAGATAAATATTAAAAATATTAATATCCTGTGATACTTTCTGAGTGTTGCCCAGAAAGATACAACAAGAAATGAATTAAAAATTATTTCATCTGAAGATAGTGATTTGTATCTTTGCTATTACTCTGCTGGATTCCTGCAAGTTGGCCTACATGGCTAATTACCATGAAGATGATCCAAAGTCTACAGCTAGTACAAATTGTAGCTGCTGGATTGCTGATCCATAGAAATGGGTTTAACAAAACAAAACGGGTTTAATTCCTCCTCATGTTATAGGAGCTGCACTGGTGGCTGATCAACTTCTGGGCCTAATTCAAGATTCTGGCAGCATACAGATAGCAGTATAACTAACTAAACAATAGGATTTGTACATTAACATTTTACTTGCTTTGCTGCCTTTGAATATCTTGGAAGAGGAATTTCTGGTAGCAGTGCCTATTTGGCTGCTTTAGTTGAGTACTTGAGGAAATTGAAACAATTACACAATAATCATTAATTATTGTGTATTTTTATTGTCTACCTCTTTCAGATATATATTGCAATATAATATTTACTTGTTAACAGCAATACAGCCAGATTTACAACTGCAAAACTGTGGAAAACCTTTGCTTCAGCAGTATTCAGTTTTTCGCAGTATTTAAAACTGGGAGAAACAGCACTGGGTGAAAAATTCACACCAAAGAAAAAGTCCCTAAGAATCTTTAATATTTAATAGAAATACAGAATATGCATGCTGAATTTTTTCTAAGTTTGCTTAAAATTACAAATGAGTACATATTCCCGAACATTACATTCTTCTGTTCTTGCTTCTGTGTAATTTGTTTTTAATTTGGGGCATTTTTACTATCTGGTTAAGTACCAAATATTTAAATAAATATTTAAACCTGTGTTAAATGTGCATTTAAACAATTGCTGGCTGTGAAATTTGGGGAGTAGAGGTCCAGATATCTTGGAGTTGCTAAGGTTTTAAATAGTTAAAAAAATTAAAAAAGAAAATAATGTTTAGGTTATCATCACCTTTCTGATCTTAATACTAAAAGCTAAACAGAATGTCGTAACACCCTAAAGATGATATTCAAAAATCATTTGAGTAAGCCCCCCAATTAAGTCTGATCCCAACCATATTGGGACTCACTCTTCAGTCTCAGGTGTTCAAACGTTTATGACCCAATGCTAATAATCCATGCTCTTATCCTAGTTTTATTGTATGTCAAAGGACAAAGCAGAAAAATAGGTATTTAAATCATATCTGTCTTTTTTCCCATGTAAAAAAAATAATCCCAGAGCAGGTCACAATTGTGAGATAATTCTTATCCTCAGGTTTACACTCAAAAGGAAACACGGCAGAGAAAGAAACTGAAAGTACAATGGTATTGGCTTACTGTGTTAGTTTTACTTACTATGAGGATGGCTACAAAACAAGCCAATGTTGTATTCCAGTCCCCATTAGCAGTGGCAGCTGCTTTGCCAACAAGCACGCTATAGAAGATAAAGTCTCCTAGACCCAGCTTGACTCCTCCTGTTAGAAGTAAACATAATTCCATCAGATAGCTGCATCTGTCTTTCAATATACATTTTAAGTTATATTTTAAGCAGACATGACATTTATGAACATGAAAGGGTGCTCAGAAACTTTCCTTTGTACACCAAATCTTCTGCCTTTTAAAAATAAGACCTCTTTTATTTTTATAGGTGCTGATTACCTCTTATAAAGATCTACATGGCATAAGATCAGACTCTTTGTGAGACCACCTGTCCCCCATTGTTTCTGCCCACCTACCAAGAAAGGGCATGCTCTGTGTTCCCTCCATCAAACAATGCCATCTTCTTGGACCCTGTGCCACCACCCACCTTGTAGAAAAGCATCACTCCAAAGATCAGATAACCCCAATGTTTTCAGTCTTTCATAAGGCTTGGAAGACCTGACTGTTCCTCCAGGCTTTTGTCTAGGAACTTGGATAATATCTGTGGGATTTTTGGTGCTCTCTGAGCTTGGTGGTTTTCTTGCAGACATTTCATTATCGAGCCAGGTAACATCATCAGTGCTAAAAAGGAGTGGGGGAAACTGTGAGCCTCTAGATCAAGCTAAGTCCAAAAACATTATGGAATTCCTGGACGTCTGACATTCAGCCAAATCAGCCACCAACAAGCACAAAGAGATAAACAACATCTACATTGAAAAGAGGCAATCAAAAATCTAAAAAGGAAACCTCCTTGCCAGCAATCAACATCCAGATAAGCAAAGACTAACACCAAGATTAATACTAGACCAGGGGTAGGCAACCTTGGCTCTTTTATGACTCGTGGTCTTCAACTCCCAGAATTCCTATGTCAGCATGGCTGGTTCAGGAATTCTGGGAGTTGAAATCCACGAGTCATAAAAGATCCAAAGTTGCCTACCCCATAACTAGACCAACAATCAAGTAGTAAACAATTCCCTAATCAGACAAACAATCACACAGTAAACTAATCAAGGAATCACCAAGAACACTTCCATCAACACTGACAGGGCAAGCCACTTATAACATAAGAGCAAACTGGGCTCCCTTGTAGCACTGATGATGTTATCTAGTTGGGTAATGAAACAACTGCAAGAAAACAACCAAGCTCAAAGAGCACCAAAAGGAGTTTATACAGTTATAAATGAAGAAGAAGAAGAAGAAGAAGAAGAAGAAGAAGAAGAAGAAGAAGAAGAAGAAGAAGAAGAAGAAGAAGAAGAAGAAGAAGAAGAAGAAGAAGAAGAAGAAGAAGAAGAAGAAGTAGTAGTAGTAGTAGTAGTAGTAGTAGTAGTAGTAGTAGTAGTAGTATAGTAGTTGGAAGAGACCTTGGAGGTCACCTCGTCCAACCCCCTGCTCAGGCAGGAAATATATTATTAAAATAGTGCATTAAACTATTTTAATGTTTGCATGTTATCCAGAGTCATTGCTATGAGATGAGTGGCTGGATAAATCATTTAAATAAAATAAATAAATACATTTGCATTAATCTGTTTTGGTCCTAAGGCTCTCTCTGGAATGGTACAGGGTGCCTGAAATACTTGCCTCCTGAAAAATGGATGTTTTGTGACTTCCATACTCATCGTTGTGGCCAAGTGCATTCACTAGCACAGGCATGTCAAACTCATGTCATGTGATGTCGCGCAACATATCGGGACTTTTTCCCTGTTGCCGGCGATGAGGTGGGTGTGGTTTTGGCATGACACAACCAGCCCGTAGGCCAGCAGTTTGACATGCCTGCACTAGCAGATCTTAACATTTAAATGAGTCCTCATCCCAAAAAGACTACATACCCCATGTTACAAGGTAATGTTTTAGTTATTTCCTACATACAGTGTAGCATTTCTTTGTGGCTCCCACTTAAGAACACCAAAGCATATGAAATGGCCAACATTTTATTTCTGCCTTCAGGTAAAGAAGCACCCAATGTTCCTTGCATTTTGTAACTATAACCACAAGGTAAATTCAGGGCCAAAATGAATGAATAAACAGAACTAATCTCAAGCAGGTGTGCTGTAATCCAGGACTTCCCTAGGACTTTCCACAGATGGTACATGTCAAAAATGAAAAAGGATGGCAATATTCTTTCATGCTCAAAATCCTAGCTCCTTTTCTGATATCTTCATTTAAAGGCGCAACTGAAGAAAACTCCTATACAACAGCAAATGACTCTTCACTGTATAAATCAATTAAATACTTCTTTTTAGATAGCTGTTCCTATTTTAAAGCAGGGGTCCTCAACCATGGCAACTTTAAGACTTGTGGACTTCAACTCCCAGAATTCCAGCCAGCAAAGAATTCTGGGAGTTGAAGTCCACAAGTCTTAAAGTTGCCAAGGTTTTAAAGGATTAACAATAGTGAGTTTTTAATTTAAGTGACTACAGCTTACTTTCTTCCTCCTCCTGGCTTTCCTCAAAGTTGCAGGCAATTTGACCAAGTTGTTGGCCAGTTTGATCCATAGTTGAGTTTCTCATTTCTGGAACTTCACGCTCAGCATATGAAGACCTGTCACGGCTCTCTGCTTCTTCAGTCAATTTGAGGCATAACAATGAGAGAAACGTAAGCAAAAAACAAGAAAATCAATTTACATATATATTACATTTTAAGAAAAAACCTTGTTAGAATAGAAGTCCTCTCCGTTGTAACAGGACTGTGCAATAATATTGATTTAAACCAGTTGTCATGGAGAAGATAACTGATTTTTTCTGTGATGTGGTAGAGCTGGGGTGTAGAATTTACAGTTTTCCTAATGTTGTTTACAAGGTTCACAAATTCATATGACTAGTCACGCTGGATCTGAATCTTATAACCAAATAAACTACTCTCAAATAAAGCTTGGCAAAATCTTTTTTCTGTACATAAATTGTCAAAGAATTCAGAACATTCTTCCGTCAATAATTGAACTCTTTCAATGCAGAGATTTCTAATGCAGTTCCCGTATAATTCTCATGGAAGCTTCCCTTTATAATTAGCTTATCCGACCGGACACTTCTAAGAGCCTATATTAGGATTTATTTAGTGGCGATACGAGCGGCAAAATGTTCGCATATTTCCGCACTTATTGCATCTGCAGAATCTCGCCCCGCCGCCCTGTTTAGGGTGACCCGTTCCCTACTTAATGTTCGGGAAGCTGGGGAGCCCTTACAGGGTAGAGCGGAGGAATTTGTGCAATTCTTATCAGACAAAATCGCTCGGATTCGGACAGACCTAGACTCCGATTGGGCAGGGCCTTTTGAGATGACTGGGGCAGGTCTTAGCTCAGTTTTATGGGATGAATTTGAGTCTGTGACCTCTGAGGATGTTGACAGAGCGGTGGGAGCAATGAGCGCCTCCACTTGTTTATTGGACCTGTGTCCTTCCTGGTTGGTCTCGGCTGCCAAGAAGGTGACACGAAACTGGCTCCAGGTGTTGATCAAGCTTCGTTGAGGGAGGGGTCTTTTCCACAATCCCTGAAGGAGGCGGTTGTGAGGCCCCTGCTCAAGAAACCTACCCTGGACCCGGCTGATTTAAATAACTTCCGTCCAGTCTCCAATCTCCCCTTTGTGGGGGAGGTTGTAGAGAGTGGTGGCGCTCCAGCTCCGACGGTCTCTGGATGAAATGGATTATCTAGACCCTTTTCAATCTGACTTCAGGCCCGGCTTCAGCACAGAAACCGCTTTGGTCGCGCTGATGGATGATCTCTGGCGGGCCCAAGACAGAGTTTATTCCTCTGTCTTGGTGCTACTTGACCTCTCAGTGGCTTTCGATACCATCGATCATGGTATCCTTTTGCGACGACTCGAAGGGGTGGGAGTGGGAGGCACCGTTTTACGGTGGTTCTCCTACCTCTCTGGCCGGTCGCAATCGGTATTGGTGGGAGGGCAGAGGTCAACCCCGAGGCCCCTTGAATGCGGCGTGCCACAGGGGTCGGTCCTCTCTCCCCTCCTATTTAACATTTATATGAAGCCGCTGGGTGAGATCATCAGACAGCATGGGGTGAGGTTTCATCAGTATGCTGATGATACCCAGTTATATATCTCCTCCCCGAGCTCTCTCAGTGAAGCGGCTGATGTGATGGGCTGTTGCCTCGAAGCCGTGAGGGTCTGGATGGGGGTTAACAGACTCAGGCTCAATCCTGACAAGACCGAGTGGCTTTGGATGTTGCCTCCCAAGGATCATGTCAACTGTCCAGTGTTGACTCTTGCGGGAGAAAATATACCCCCTTCGGAGCGGGTTTGCAACTTGGGTGTCCTCCTTGATCCACAGCTGAATTTGGAACATCAATTGACGGCTGTGGCTGGGAGGACCTTTGCACAAGTTCGCCTGTTGCACCAGTTATGACCCTACCTGGACCGGGAGGTTCTCCTTATAGTCACTCACGCCCTTGTCACCTCACATTTGGACTACTGCAACCTGCTCTACATGGGGCTACCCCTGAAAAGTATTCGGAGACTACAGTTGGTCCAAAATGCAGCCACGCGAGTGATAGTGGGTGCTCCTTGATACACCCACGTTACACCTATCCTCCGTGAGCTGCACTGGTTGCCTATTGGTCTCCGGGTCCAATTCAAGGTGTTGGTTATTACCTTTAAAGCCCTATATGGCTCAGGGCCAGGCTATTTGCGAGACCGCCTACTATCTCATAGTTCCCTACGTCCCGTTAGATCCCACAGGCTGGGCCTTCTTCAGTCCCCGTCGGCCAAGCAGTGCCATTTGACGGGGCCGCGGAGGGCCTTCTCTGTGATGGCGCCCATGCTTTGGAATCAGCTCCCCCCGGAGATTAGGACCACTCCCACCCTGTTGGTCTTCCGTAAGCTACTTAAGATCTGGCTTTTCTGGCAGGCCTGGGGTTTATAAAACCTTACCCCTGGATGATTGTTTTTGTATTGTTGTTTTGTTATGTTTTATGTGTTTTTTATTGTTAGCCGCCCAGAGTCCTTTGGGAGTGGGGCGGCTTGTAAATTTTAAAAATAAAATAAATAATAAAGCTTGCAATAAGAAATCCAGTGAATATAATACATTGCAGATTTCCTCTCAATTTTATTTAACAACAAAAGAATGACCCTTGTTATATCAAGTGCATCAATTACCTGGATTCCCTATCTCCTGAGAAGTCCTTCTCTGTGCACTGTCTGGCTTTGCCATTCCAATTGTCCACATCATAGCAGCTTAAGGAAAGAACAAACAACATATGAACCTATGAAACAAAACTAATGGATTGTTCAAAGTTACAATGTACAGTATAATCAGAAGCCCACCCTACATTTCTCAGTTGTGATATATTAAGAAAATGTGTCAATGCTACAGATACTTGCATTTGTCTATCAGTACACAATGTTCTGCGTACCTTGGCATATAGTCATGCTGCCCACATGACCACAAAAGCATTTTCAGACAATGTTAGTTCCCTTAGCTAGGAAGCATATATACATATATATGATATATATAAGAAATCTGGAACCTGGGCATCGTGCCCATACTTGCAAACCTAACTTTGCAAGGTTAGAAACTTTCCTTTTTAAAAGAATGCTGAGATAATCAGGAAGTTGAATTTTATATCTATTGCCACGATTTGGGAATATCCAACAATACCTCTGAACAGGATAGAATTTCTATTTTCCTTCTTTTTCACTCCGAAATAATATTTTCAGTTAATAAGGCATCACTAGTTGCCTGTATTCTACTCACAGGAATAAATAAGTGCAGGAAATATTGGCTCATTTCTCTCTTGTGCTGTTTCCACCAACATTCGGAGGGGTCCCTTTGGACATAAAACTGCTATCAAGTCTGTGGACAGAAAAATGTCCATTTAATCCCAAGTAGCATTCCGAACATCTAATTTTCCTGCTGCTACATGGCAGGGAATTCTTTCAAACTTTTCTCTAAAGGTATTTATAGCTTTACTAATAATAACAATAAAATAGAATACAATACACAAAGAAAACATTCTGAATCTTGGAGAGCTTTCTTTTTGAAATAAGAGAGAAGATAAACACAATTTCAGAACCTCAAACAAGGGAAAGAGAAATTCACGGAATAAAACTCCCATATAATATAAGGAATCCAGACAAATAAAACCACCAAACTTTATATGGCACACAGAATCTAATGCTTCTGGACAAATGCAGTCCAACTTTACAATTAGGCAAAGCAAGGTAATGGACTTATGAATAAATTTTGATATCACTGAAAAGATAGCAAACAATCTCTTGCTTCATTTACATCCCACTGCAAATTCTTCTCAGTCTCTTAATTACCCCTCCTTTGCAATGAAAATATTGTGAAGAAATGCAGCCAATATAATAATTCAGAGAGCAAAAGAGACAATTGGAATGCAACTAAGAATTGGAGAAACATTTAACTGGAAACATATTCTTAGACTTGTAGTTTTGAGAAGCATTTGTGTATATAGGTAGTCCTCAACTTACGATCACAATCGAGCTCAACATTTCTGTTGTTAAGTGAGGCATTTGCTAAGTGAGTTTTGCCCCATTTTACGACCTTTCTTGCCACAGTTGTTAAGTGAATCACAGCAGTTGATAATCGGGCTTCCCCACTGACTTTGTGAAAGTGGATCTCATGACCTTGAGATACAGTAATGGTTATAAGTATGAACCAGTTGCCAAGCATTTGAATTTTGATCATGGGATCCTACAAAGGTTATAACTGTGAAAAATGGTCATAAGTCACTTTTTCCAGTGCTGTTGTAACTGAACAGTCACTAAATTAACTGTTATAAGCTGAGGAGTATATATAGTACTTCAAAAATTGGTCACAGTCTCTTAATATGTATTTTAGATCAATTACTGGATTAAAACAATTCCTTTAAAGCGTTGCTGTGATTGTTGTTTCAATGCATGTGACTTCGGGCTACATTCCAATGTCATAATGAACAATGATTATAATAAATCAGTTCCCACAATTTGCTCTCCTTGTATCTGCATGGGGCTACGCAGAACAGTTAGCATATTTCTGCTTCCATTTTTTGACAATCTATGGCTTGTCAGGTTTGGAAAGTATTAATGGCTATTATCAGAGTGGAAGGTTTGGATCCCTTGCTTGCAATCAGATTAGAGTAATATGCAAACCCAGCCTGGAGAAAATCACAATAAATCAAGGTTTATTGCAATATTTGAATGCAACTTTCTGAATACAGGTGGCAAAGCTGAAATAATCTCTCTGGAGTGAAATGCAAAGGTTTAATATTTATCATTATTTATTATTTCTAGGACACGGTATTAACTTGGTTTAATCTCCTCACAAAGGACATGTTCAGTTTCAGAGGAGGATCACCATACAAATTCTGTTGTAGACATACCATAAACAGAGATGCCTCCCAGGATGACCCAAGCTGACCACTCTGGCAGGTACTTAATGAAAACTAGAGCCATCAAGGCGCTGATCATAATGAGATAGGCTTGCTGAAGTTTCAAAGGCCCCTTCCAGTGGATGCAAATCATCCCAACAGCTCCAAAATTCCAGATAACAAAGAACAGGGTAGGGTAATCCATAGCCACATTGTAAGTCTTGAGCACTTCACTGTCAAAAAAAAAAAAAAAAAGTAGTTCACTGCCGTGATGTAGTAACTGTGAAATTAACAGCATAAGGTGATGCTGCACTATTTCAGAGAGAGGAAGATCAGGGAAGTTGCAGGTGTATGACCAAAATCATGTGATGTATAACTGAGCTCAAGGGATCAAATTAGGATCCAAATACCTGATCCCGTGTCACATTATGTGTCCATCTAGCCAAGCAGACACTAGTCTAATCACAGTTCTTTGGGGATCAGCATATTTTCCCCAATAAATTATTATGTGATTTCAAAGAGGAGAGAACAAACCATGTTAGAGATATTCTACAACTACTTAACCAATAAGCCATCATCCCCTCTACAGGTCCCTTGGGATTGGCTGGGAAAACTGATATTTTAATTCGGAATACAAAATACATATGGACCAACTAGATTAGGAAGGGGATATTACACATCGCCCAATAAATGCCTAACTCAACCTAATTTTAAAAGTAACAAAAAGAAGTAAGAGCCATCTAGTCTTGTTTATCATAAATGTACTTCAAATGCTACCTGAGATTTTGCTAGTGCAGCCAACCTAGGTTCCACACAATTATACAAATGCCGTCTAATGATCTGGCATAGCTAGTAAGCAGTGACTGCTTTCTCAGACTATAAGAAATAGGAGAATGAAAGCAAAGCTCCAACAGGCAGACTATTCCCCTTCTTTAACTACATAAAGATCCTCATTATTTAAGAATGAACATTCTTCTTTAAGGAACTTGCTTTTTTCTTCTTCCCTGTTCATGCTATTCTCTTTTTGTGTCATGTTGTTTCATCTTTTTTCGCTGATCATATAAGTTTTTTTGTTATTCTTCAAAAATCCAAAACTAAATGCAAATCATTTAGCAATCCCTACACTAACCTGTGTCTATCCTTGTTTAAAGAATACTAAGTGGTTTAGAATTCACAGTTCTCACTTACCCAAGGTAGATGTAAGTGAAGAGAAACAAAAGCATCAGCGATGAGAGAATCAGCCACCCATGAATGAACTGCAAAAGATGACAATATGCTATTTAGGTGTCTTTCTTGCACATTCCAAAGATAACTGCATTGACCTGATTTTGCTATAGACCTGATTTTGCTACATTGACCTGATTTTGCTATGATTTCACTTCATAGCTAACAGAAGCCTTCCCAGCACATGAGAGCATACCTGGAAAGAGAGGGAAAGGCTGCCTTAGGAAGACAAAGAAGAATGAAGAAGACCTCCAACTCTAAATGAAAGTCAAAAAATTCATAGGAACTTAGAAAAAAAAAGTTTTTATTGTAAAATGCCGCAATTTTTCAGAGAAAAATTACTTCCGAGAGATCAGGTACTTCTATGCAACTCTGACAAGAGTAAAAAGCTTGATTTCATCCTTCATTTATTTTGCCACTTAATCATCTTTAAACTTTCCCTGAGGCTTGTCAAATAGTCCCCTGTCCCAAATGTCCAGTACATTTTCCTTCTCTACTCCTGCCCCTCTCTAAAACTTCTGTTTTTCGAATATTCTCTGATCACGACATCAGGCTCTTATTTAATTAGCCTTCTACTTCCCTTTTAAAATCTCATTATATAAATAGACTATATAGCCATTCAAAAGCCTACAAGAAACACGAGGATACTAAGTTTTGAATTTATCACCAGCAGTAGTTTATAAGTATTCCCTAAACATTAGGCTAGCCTTCCCTAACATTGTGCCCTCCAGATGTGCTGGTCTGCTATACTCATAACTCTCTCAATCAGTTGGCTGTCTTGCTGATACAGGCAAAGGTAAAGGTTTTCCCTGTCCAGTCATTTCCAACTCCAGGTGGAGATTGCTCATTTCTGTTTCCTAGTTGAGGGAGCCAGTGTTGTCCTAAGATGCTTCCGTGATCATGTGGCCAGCTTGACTACATGTCAAGTTTCTTGAAACGCTGTTACCTTCCCAATAAAGTGTACCTATTTATCTACTTGCATTCGCATGCTTTCAAACTGCTAGGTTGGCAGGTGCTGGGGCAAGAATAGGAGCTCACCCCATCATGCAGTACTTGTGTCTTGAACTGCCAACCTTCCAGTTGACAAGCCCAGCATCTTAACCGCTAGGTCACTGCGCCCCCTATGTATTGATGATAAATGGTGGGAAATATAATTTCAACATATTCCGGCAGCAGGCTGGAGATGTTTTTATTGTGTTAAAAACTTCCCCTCTAGAATTCATTTTTTGATTGAATGCATTATCAGCAATGCAGATCTGTTTAAGAATGCAATTTCATGACTCAACACTTTTCAACCTATTTTGGAATGAACGATGCCTTATTTTGCCTGTAGAATCACTCTTAAAACAACACATTGAACATATAGAAGAGAGGAACCCCTTACAAATTTTAATGTGTCAAGATAAACCTATAGAAATATCTTACTTGTTTACCAACAGTTTGAATAATTTAAAATATCAAAAAATAATACTGAGGTTCTTCTAAATCCTGCAAAATTCTTTAAGATATTATTTTTCTGCAGTCAACATTTTTAAAAAGATGTGACAATATCACTTCTGAATGTTTCCAATCCATCAAAAACATGCAGATTAATTGTCTAAAACAATGTGGCAAATGCATACCGTAAGAATCACTGAGGATCATGCCTAAAGAATGCCTATCCCATGGAGTGAAAGTATCTGATAGAATTAAATAAAAGGCTTTTATAATTTGAGACCTTTCACTAACATATTCAAAGCCTTGCCTTATAGCAACGATATTTGTACAGCAAAACCAAAAAGATGGTCATCACTAGAATAACACTGATCATGATGATGGTATTCAACACAGAGCTCAAGAGACGCTGGCCCACATAGGGGGTATCTTCACTGAAGGGGGTATAAATCCTGAAAGAAAAGGCAAAATATCTTAACAGAAGAAGCTCATTGACTATCAAGACAAAACCCAATCACTCCAAAATATATGTATTACAGAATGCTTTAGCTCAAATACAGAGGCAATAGAAATAAAAGACATTTATAAAACAAGCAATGTAGCTTTTGAATTTACCATATCTTTAGTTACAGTATCATCCCCCAATCAAGGTATGCTGGATTTCCACTCATTACTTTCCATCCAGTATGGCCAGAACAACAACACATCTGAATGATTCCAGGTTGGAAAAAATTGAGCAACTTGTTATGCACAAAAGATTGTGGAAATATCATTGAAGTACAGGAATTTTCAACTTGTGAAATCCAGTGCTGTTTGTATTTGTATATATATGATTTCATGTGGCCTTACAACAATACGGAATGCATTAAAAAAATTTAAGAGCCTTTTAAAACTTGACTCCTGGATCTCTTCATGCTTTATCACAAATTTACAATTTCCACTTAGGAATAATGGGAGTTTGCAATCCCTGGAAGAAACTAAATAATAGGAAATAATCTTAATGTAAATAATGCATTCATTGTCTATGGAGATTCTCATAGCTGTCTCAAAAGTGCTTTTTCAAGATGTTTTTCTTTGGCGACGTTTCACTTCTCATCCAAGAAGCTTCTTTTTCTCAGAACTGAAGAAGCTTCATGGATAAGAAGCAAAACGTCTTCAAAGAAAAACAAAGAAAGTCCAGTTGCCTCTTGAAAAAGCACTTTTGGTACAATGCATTCATTGTTTTAAAGTCTGTGAAGAATCACTTACAGTTGCCCATTCTTCTCAGTGTAGAAACGGACTGATTTAATGGTTGCAACAACTACAACCATGCACAATGTTACAGGCACAAACAGCATGATCACATGCTTTGCTCCATATTTTAAGGTCAACTCTTCCTCCTCATTATCCAGCACAATATGTCCTTTTGCTGCTCTTTCTGGGTCAGGCCCGTTTTCCTCTGTTTTATTAGAACTGCCAGTGCTGCCAGTACGTCTATTCTGCAATAACAATAAACAGAAAGAGTTAGCAACTGTTGTGCAGATCTACCTTCCTAGAGAGTTCTTCCTGAACTGCTTAATGCCTTCAAAACCTCTTGCCAAAAGTGGTCATTTCAGACATCTAAAAACTGAGGAGACAAAAATATTGTAGGAAACTTGAGTAATAAAAGAGTCCAAAGTCCAGAAAGTTGCCATTTCCAGAGGCTAAGGAACATGCCCAGCAACCATAATGCCTCAGTTGACACAATGTGACAGAATAATGCACAAAATAATCCAGTTCAATATTACCTTTCAATATTCTTTCCTTCCTTGGCTGAGAAAAAATGTTGGCTCAAGGCCACCATGCTGGCTTTGTGCCTAAGGCAGGACTGGAACTCATGGTCTCTTAACCAGATCAACTGGCTATAAACTTTATAGATTCTATGTAGTAACTATACCTCTATAGATTCTATATAATTACTATAGACTCTTGTTTTTAAAATTTAGGAGAGAAGTTGGCATATTTTAGCAAGTTAGTAAGGATAATCATGTAACTGTGAGGACCCATATTGTATTTTCAGAAATTGATTATAGGGATAAAGGATGGGGAAAGAAAGTAGTATTGAACTGGATTACTTTGTGCATTACTTTGTGCAGTTCACATTGTGTCAACTGAGGCATTATGGTTGCTGGGCATGTTCCTTAGCCTCTAGAAACTTTGAGAAGAAAATTGAAGGAAAATTAACAAGAAAAGTCCAGGCAGTTTCAAAGAATCAGACACAATTAAATGAAAGAGAAAAAAGAGAACACAATCAAAAGCATACAGATATGCTCAGTGACACCATATCTTTATTTGTGCAGTCTGGCCATGTGAGGCTATGGTAAGAGGGAGGCTCTTTGATTTCTCGGCCACTGGCTGACTTTTAAAAATTAATGTGCCGTCGTGGTGTGAGAAGGTGGCTGAGACTCAAATACTTTAATACAGCCAGCCCAGTGCTTTGGATGTCAACTCCATACTCCCCAGCAAGGATATTAGTAGTCCTACTTGGTTAGTACATAGTCCAATACATCTGTGATGGGGAAACAGTGGGAAAACTACCCTAATGTACTTGAACATATGGAACAACCCTTTCTAGCCTTTTGAAAGATACAAAAGAAGGATTCACAGGAAATGAATTCACACAGAGAACAGGATCACCATTATATACTATAACTGGATGCTATTCAGAGAAAGGAACAGAATTGTTTTCTATTAGTGCATGGAAGACAAATCTGATTCTAACTAAATTTAGAAGTTTCCTAATAGTACGGTTCAACATTAGAACTGCCTTGGGACATAGTGAGTTCCCCTTTGCTTGAGTTATTTAGGTAGAGGTTGAATAGCCATCAGTCAAGAACATTGTAATAGGTACTGCACCGCGCAGGAAGTGATGTACATTAGGGATCTTTTTCGGGGTTCAGACAAAACCTGATTTAATTTAAATGCAATTAAAAACTAATTTTCATTCATTAAATACAATAAATACCAGTATCTCATATGGTACATATTAATGATTTTAGACTCTTTCCATCCTAAAGATTGAACAATAACTTTCAGAGAGAGTCTAGTCCTAAGGTGACTAAATGATTTCTAAAATACCTGCCAATTCTAAGCAAAGCAGCACATTCTTTTCCAAAGACTCCTACCCTGTGGGAAAGTGTTTCTGCAGCTTCAGTTGGTTGTGCTCCATCATGATAAGAAGGTAGAAGGGGGCTTTCAGCTGACATCAACGATGTCCTTTCATTGCAGGGTTCCTCTTCACTGTCAGAATTGTTCATAAAGGCGATCATGCTTCCTTCTTCATGGAGAATCTTAATCACACCCCAGACACTGTAGAAATAAGTAATGTAGACGAATAAAAGCAAAACAGACTGCCCAGAATAATTACAAAATTAAAGAGCCTTTAACAAGGTAGCTGATAGCTTCTAAAACTGGTGTTTTTTTCTGCAATAACCAGTATTCCAGAACTATTAAAAAATATTTCACATTCTTTTATAAAATTGATTTTTTTTCTTTACAGGCTATGGTGTGTGAATTACATGCTATGGTGTGTGAATTTTTTTAAAAAATGTATTGGAATTCAATTTTTAAAAGGCTAACACTTTTTTCTAGGGCTCTCAAAAGCAGTATCTTCTAGCTGACTTAGGTTACATTTTGGGTAATCCCAGCCACTTATTTAATTTCCACTAAATTTGAAGAGCATCAGATTGGGAAAGGCTACTGTTATATCCAATTGTACCCAAGGGAGAAATAGGTTTAAATGCTTTATGTTACCAATAACAGATCCTTATCATCTGGTTGTTTTGTTACAGTCTTCCCCACAAAAATGAAAGATGCAATGTATTTCTTTTTTCAACTGTACTACAAAAACTCACCTGTTTGTTTGTAACCTTCAATTGGGCAAAATGGTAAGTCGTAGGGGTTTGAATCAACATTCCTCAAATAGGCTAACCTAAAGAATGCATCCAAAGTCCAGGATCCATTACTCCCTTGGGATTGAAATTTGGCAAAGTTACGGCCACTTTAGCCCTGTTGCACTTAGCCACAATGCCAGCTTCCCACAAAGATAATCAATGGGAAAGACGGCAGGAAATCAATTCTTTTCATGGTGCATTTTCCCTTTCCTCTTCTGAGTTATTTTATGTGAAAGTTATAGACCATGGTTAGGATGAATGATACATATTAACATATTAACTGAGCCCTGGTGATACAGTGGCTAGAATGCAGTACTGCAGCCTAACTCGTTGCTCACTCCAGGTATTCAATTCTGAACGGCTCAAGGTTGACTCAGTCTTTCAACCTTCTGAGATCGGTAAAATGATGACCCAGATTGTTGGGGGAAATATGCTGACTCTGTAAACCCCTTAGAGAGGGCTGTAAAGCACTATGAAGTGGTATATACATCTAAGTGCTATTGCTACTGCTATTAATATAAAAACAACTCTCAATTGTGAAGAACAAAGCAGGAAAGAATTAACATGTATACAGCTATACAAAACTAGTGGGAAAATATGTTTTTGCTGCTCTTCACCATCTATAAGTACTGCCAAGATATTGCAATGGAGTTTGAACAGGACAAATGCGCATCAACAAAGGAAAAACAGTGAATACTGAAGGAATAAAGATGCCCTATGGAAATAACATCAAGATTATCACTACAAATATCTGGGTATTCTTCAAGATGACAACATCAAGCATATTTAAGTGAAGAAGGTTAGAAGCGAATACATCATGAGAGTGAAGAAAATCTTAAAGCCCAAACTCAGTAAAGGAAATACCTTCAAGGCAATTAATACTTGGGTAATTCCAGTCATTACGTACACAGTTGGAACAGTGGCCTGGACTCAAGCAGAATTAAAAGCTCTGACTAGGAAGATCAGGAAAATAATTATAATGAATCATGCCCCTCAGCCTCAGAGCAATGACGTCAGACTCTACTTACCAAGGAAAATAGTTGGACATGGAAAGTTGCAAGTACACAGACAGTTGAATAAGAAAAAAAGGGCATTGTAAGAATATCTGAGGGGCAGTGGGAAAGAGACCAAACTGGCCTACAAGAAAGACCAAATAAAGTCTAGAAAAGAGACATGGCAGGCAAAGTATTACTTGGCCAGTACATACAAAATAGCAGGCAAAGCAAATACCAAAAAGACCTGGCAATGGCTAAAGTTGAAGAAAGTTGAAGAAAGAGACAGAGGGCTAATTTCAGTTACATACAGTACCAACCTTAAAAACAAATGCATATAGAGCCAGAACTGAAAAAACAGGAGGAGACAGCAAATGCCAACTCTGCAAAGAAGGTGAAGAAATGAGTGAACCACCTAGTTAGCTGTTGCAAGAAGATTCCACAGACTACCTACAAATAACAATATGATAAAGTAGCAATAAAGGTGCATTGGAATATCTGCAACAAATACCACTAGCACTACTTAAATACTATTGGCATTGATAGAATCATTATCAGTTAATTGCAAAAGGAAATGTTTGCTTGTAATAGCTTACATTCTATGACAATAACACATTTTCATAAAAAATCTAAAGGGATGACACAAAGTCAGGGGAAATTGCTAACATTTTGGAAGACAGAGAAGAGTCAGAAAGATCTTGACAGACTTGAACCTGGGGCCCTATCCAACAAGATGCAGTTCAGTGGCAAAAAAAGAAAGGTCCTGCACTTAGATAGAAAAAAATCAGGTATACAGATACAGGATAGGCTCAACAGTAGTACCGATGAGAGCATTCAAAGTGTCCTCGTGGACACTGCTTAAGGATGAGTCAGTAGCCAACTCAGTCCTGGGCTGCATGAATGGAGGTTAGTATCAAGATCAAGAGAAGTACAGTACCATTCTAGACCAGACTGGGGAGGCCTTATCTAGAATACTGTGTCCAGTTCTGGTCACAACACAAAAAAAATATGCTGATGTCCTATAAAGATTACAGAGAAGAGCAACAAAGATGATAAGAAATCTGAAGCGAAAACCCATGAAGGAACTAGGTATGTTTAGCTTCATGAAGAGAAGACTTGTGCATGATAGCAGTCTTCCCATACTTGAAAGCCTGCACAGGGAAGAGAGCACTGACTTATTGTCTATAGCACTTGAGAGTAGGACAAGAAACAATGGGTGGAAGCTTGTCAGTGGGAGATCCAATCTGGAATTTCCTGGCAGCAAAAACTATTAAGCAATGGAACAGTTTGCTTCCCAGAGTTGTGGGTGTTCCATTGCTGGAGGTTTCAAAAAAACGTTTGTACAATTATTTGTCCAAGCTGGTATGAAGACTCCTGCCTTGAGCAAGAAACTGGACTAGACAATCTCCAAGGTCCCTTCCAACCATATAATTCTAACACCATCAAACAACATTTGCTTATCCCAGGTCTTCAAGAGGAATTCAAAAGGAGGTTAAAAATGCAACATCCAGTCTAAATATCTGGCTGAATATGCAATCAACAATTAGTTTACTTAGGCATTGACTGGTTCCAAAAGGCTCTGGGAAGTGTACATTTAAAAAAAGAATAAAAATAAAAAACAATATTTTTTTATTGGGGAAAAAAGAAAATGTAGCCTAGATCCAGGTTTGAATTGAAGAATTGTTCATAAGATACAGCAGATACCTAGTTCCACCTACATTTTTGCTTTTTCACCTGGTTCTTGTTAGCAACTCTTGGAATTCTAATAAAAGTAACACAATAGTAAAGTTTGAGTTATATTCATCCCTGGTTTAAATCAAGTAGAAAAAAAGTATTAGTGGGTATTGCCAGAAGCCAAATTACTACTGAAAATATACTGGTCTGATAAGAATAAAATATTACATGATTTAAAAAAAACATTTAGAGTGAACAGATCTGAGCAGATCTAGTTTATCTATTTAAAAACACAATAGAACTTCTCTGCTTGCAAAGATAAACCACATCCTTTCTCTGTAGAAGTATTTTCCATTAGTTTTAAATTCCAATATACAGGTGGCCTTGTCTGAGCCAAGAACAATGTCAAGCTTGAAAGATTTTTTTTTAAAAAAAGCAAAACTAATAAATGTTAAGACTGCAAATCTTTAATTCATGTTTATTTTAAGTGGAAAGATAAAGCCTAATATCAACACCCAAAGATGAGTATTTGAAAGTAAATATTATTACTTTCAACAAGGCTTACGCCACATTTAGTGAATACAATTCAAGTACCTGTGTGGCTTGCAGTCAATGTGCCTGCCAGATTCCTTGTCCCACTTAATTTTGTATTTTTCTAACAAACAAATCTGATTAAAAACTAACCTGTGGCAAATTTCAGTATTATCATTACTATCCAAAATGCCTTGAGTCACAAATATGACTTCATACCTTTCTTAGATTATAGAAAAGTTGTTTCCCAATGCTGTTTGAAAATTGAAACAGCGTAACTGTAAGAAGCATCCTTCAGAAAAGTAGGTAGAGAAGGTAGCAGATAACATTCTGATTGGTATTTGTTAGCTTATTTCACATATGGCAGCCATTTTGTGAATTCAGGCTCATTCCACTAGTTTTTGTTAATATATCCAAAACACGGTTCAAAATTCCAAATGTTGCCACTAATCCCCAAAGGTTGAGGAACTCTATTACACTGACCTGTAGCCTGAAAAAGCTCCTTTTAATGATTCTGTTAAAGAGCCATTCACCAATCCTTCAGCCATCAGAAAACAATACCAGCATAAAACCTGCTGTTTCCACTGTCAATCTGTATCCTGCTAAAGCAGGGGTGTTAAACTGCTGGCCCGTGGGCCAGTTTCATCATATCGAAGCCATGCCCACACCATTGCCGGCAATGCAAAAAGAGTCACGATACATCGCGACACATTATGTAACGTGGCAAGTTTGACACCCGTGTGCTAAAGGAAGTGTCCCACCTAATGATGATACCCTTGTTTATTGTGTGCAGGGCATATTAAGGAAATGGTGGATTCCCTGATTTTGCTTTCCTCTCCCCTCAATAAATGTCACCAACTGGCAGGAAAATATCTACCAATGATTCTCCTTAACCAATGATTCTCCTTAATCATGAATGGAACTGTAGAAGAAGCAGAGTTTGGCTAGACCTGTTCAGGCATCTTCAAACCTTCCTTAAAACTTTGAAAAGCTCCAGACAGTTGATTCCCAGGCTGGAAAAGTAAGCAAAATACAAAAGTGGATGGGTTACTTCAAAGCTTTGTTTATTTGGTGGGTAAAGAGTTGTATTCCCCTCTGCCACTGCTTCCTCTTTTGGACCTGTAAGCTGTTATGTTTGACTAGGCAAGGGAGTGAGGCTGCATGGTGTACATACTTTGGTACCTGTCAGCTGTTAAGTAATCAGGCTGTTTTAAACATG